AAAAAAAAAAAAAAAAAAAAAAAAAAAAAAAAAAAAAAAAAACTACCTGGTAGGTCTTACATGTATTTCTCTATTTCTAGGTAACCTTTACATATGATGATAATAATTTCAGAATAATACATAGTTAGCATTTGTTAAATGCCTCTTTGTGCCAGGAATTTTCCTAAACACGTTTCCTGCAGTATCTCTCTTAGTCACTCTTCTATTGCTGTGAAGAGACACCATGACCAAGGCAACTCTTAATAAAGGGAAGCATTTTACTGAGGACTGACTTACAGTTTCAGAGGCTTAGTCCATTATCATCATGGCAGGGAGCATGGCATTAGAGCATTAACTGAGAGCTGCATCCCGATCTGCAGGCAGAGAGAGAGAGACTGAGCCTGGCATGGAATTTTGAAACCTCAAAGCCCACACCTCCTGCCTTAATTACGGTTTCTGTTGTGAAAAGACACCATGACCATGGCAACTCTTACAAAGGAAAGTATTTAATCGCGTGGCTGACAGTTCAGAGGTTTAGTCTATTATCGGCATGGCAGCACACAGGCAGACATGGTGCTGGAGAGGTGGCTGAGAGTTCTACATCTGGATCTTCAGGCAGCAGGAAGAGACTGCCACGCTGGACCTGCCTTGAGCATCTGAGACCTCAGAGCCCTCCCCCAGTGACACACTTCCTCCTTCAAGGACACACCCACTCCAACAAGGCCACACCTCCTAATAGGGCCACTCCCATGGGCCTATGGGGGGCCATTTTTATTCAAACCATCACACCTCCTAATCCTTTAAAACAGTTCTACTCCCTGGTGACCAACCATTCAAATACATGAGCCTGTGAGGGCCATTTTTATTCAGACCACCACAGTATCTCATTTAATCCTTGGACCAGCTCTCAGAAGTGTGACTGTTACTCCTGTTTTACATAGAAGGAAACTGAGGCACTGAGAAATAAAATAATTTGCCAAAGGTCACGTGACTGGGACATGGCCAAGCCAAGGTTTCAGCTTGCCTTAGCTCCTGAGCCGAGATTCTTCAACCACCACCTGTAATTTTTTTCCGTGAAAAGCATGTTTGTGTTTCTTCCTTATTTTCCTTTTAAAGTTATATTTTTATAGAGAAATATACTTACCCGAGGCAGAGGAGATCATTTAGTTAGTAGAGTACTTGCTGTGAGTTTGATACCTAGAGCCCACACTTTAAAAAAAAAAAAAAAAAAGCCCAGCAATGTGGCACACATTTGTAATCCTGGTGTTAAGGAGGCAGAGACAGTGGATCTCTGAGGTTTGTTGGCCAGCCAGCCTAGCCTACTCATTGGGTTCCAGGCCAAAGAGAGACCCTGTCTCAAAAACCAAAAAAAGGTGGGTGATGCCTAAGGAATGACGCCCAAGGTGTCCTCTGTCCTCCACATGCACAGGCACACATATGCACATTCATATGCATACACATGAACATGTGTACACACATACATACAAGAAAATATATGATACTTTATTCATATATCTATATAGAAAGTATTTTCTTTGTTATTTAAGTTTTATTTTCTCAAGTGCAAAGACTTGTGATTTCCATAGAAACCTAATCTGTCTTTTTCCTCTGAGTGTGTGTGTGTGTATGTGTGTGTGTGTGTGTGTGTGTGTGTGTGTGTGTGTGTATGTGGGTGTGCAATGCACGCACATGCCATGGTGCGAATGTGGAAGTCAGAGGACAATGTACCGGAGCCAGCACTCTGCTCCCACTGTGTGTGTGGGTCCTGGGGATGGAACTTGTGTCATCGGGCTTAGGACAAGAGCCTTTACTACTGAGCTATCTTGCCTGTTCCAACCATGAATTTTTAAAGCTATTACAGGCATATAAACTCAGTTTGGGAGGCTGAGACAGGAGGATCCAAAGTACGGTACCTGCTTGGGGTAGAGAGTGAGTTCAAAGCCATCTTTGTGCAATTTCATGGGACACTGTCTCAAAAGCAAAAGTGAAAAGAGGCCTGAGAACACAGCTTAGGGGTAGAGCTTTTGTCGAGTGTGCGATGGCCTCGGTTCAGTCCTCAGCACAGACAAAAAGAGTCAGACATATTGGGAACTCCTAAGGCAGAGGCAGGCAGATCTCTGAGTTTGAAGCCAGCCTGAACTCCATGGAGAGTTCCCAGCCAGCCTGGCCCACATAGTGAGAGCTTGTCTCAAAAGAAAAGGAAGTTACTTTCACAAATGTACGGCACCAGCAGCTGACTCGAAGTGCATGGGAGTACCAGTCTTCTCTCTGTGGACTTTCTAAATCACGTCAGCCGACCTGGAAGGCGGCTGATTTGTGGTTTTAGTCTAAGCTGCACATCTCCAGCAGGCCTCTCAGCAGACAGAAATGTTACATGCCATGTTGTGTCCTGAGTTAAGATTGGGTGGCTGTGTCCTAATCCAAGAAAAGAGGGGTTCTTGAGGGAGGTGCCTCTGAGGACTCTGGTTTTCACTGTTCTTCTCCCCGCAGCCAAAGCAGCTGACGGATACGTGAAGCCGCAGATCAAGCAAGTGGTCCCTGAGTAAGTGTCCGGGGCCCAGCTCTATTCTCCCGGTGCCTCTCCCTCCACGCTGTGTCCATCCCAGCACTCATCACTCTCTGCTGCTGAGTCCAGCATCCCTAACCCCCTGGTAAACTCAGTTTAGCCTTTGAGAAGGAACTGAGTTCCATCATGCTGTGGCCAGGCCCCTGGGGGTCCAACCTCCTGTGTCCTGAAAAAAGATGTCCCCAGTCCCCTCCACCAGTCCACGTGGCTGAGACTGTGTTCTGCTTCCTTCCACAGGTTTGCTAACGCATCTACAGATGCGGGGAGCGGCGCCACCTACATGGACCAGGCCCCCTCTCCAGCAGTGTGCCCCCAGGCTCACTACAACATGTACTCACAGAAGTAGGTCGTGCTCTTGGAGGCATATGGGGAGGTACTGGGGCCTTGCCTTAGGCTGGACTTCCTAAGGCCTGGAGTGGGAGGCAAAGGAACCTGAAGGTTCTCTGGATCTGACCTCACCCAGCCTAGGCCCAGGCTCTGGCGGGGGGTGGGAGGGTGGGGGGAATCCATCTGATATTTGAAGCATGAAGTGCCCATGAGCAAATGGCATCTGCTCGTCTTCTCTGAAGATGGAGATGTGCTACTCTGTGTTTAAGGAATGGCTGCAATGTAGATGTGGGCAGCTAGGGTGGGTACTGAGAACTGAATCTCTGCAGACCTAGCCAGCAAAGGTATCAGGGGATCTTTCCAGTGAGGACCTAGGTGAAAGGGACAGCCCGGATCTCTCACCTGATGGGTTGTGGGGTGTGAGGTGACCTCTGATAACCGTTTGTCTTGCCCTCCATCACTTGTCTTGCCCTCTGAAGCACCGACTCTGTCCTTGACACCGACGGGGACTTCGATCTAGAAGACACGATGGACGTGGCGCGGCGCGTGGAGGAACTCTTAGGCCGGCCCATGGACAGTCAGTGGATCCCTCATGCCCAGTCATGACCAGACCTCGCCGCCTGCAGCTTCATCATCCTCGCGGAGGAACTTTCTTGTGGATGTTTTAATTCCATGAATCGCTTCTCTTTGGAAACAATACTCATAATGTGAAGTGTTAATATAGTTGTGACTTTAGTGTTCCTGTGCATCGTGGCACCAGTGAAGGGAGTGTGTGTGAGTGTGAATGTGTGGGTTTGCACGTTGTGTTCCCCCCCCCCTCCACCCCTTGCTGTCCAGTCTAAGCTGCAGTGCCAGGGCAGGGGCCGGGCTTGTTTTCACCTCGTGCAAAGAGGCGGTCGGTCCCCTGGACCCTGGAACCTGGCCATGTGTCTTAAGGGTGGCCGAACTTTGACACGCGACTGTTCAAGTAAGAAAAGGACAAAGAGAGGAAAAAGCACCTCCTCTCTGGGGAGCCTTCCTCCCTCGGCCAGGCAGTCCATAGTCCACGCCAGCTGCCATTGTCTCCTCCTGTCTTCTGAAATGTCGGTGACTGTCTGTTGATGGAGAAAGCCAATGCCTCACAGGTCCCCGTCCCCTTTGCGCATACGGATGGGAAGGGAAGCTGGATAAAGAGTGTTGGGGCAAAGGTGGCCGCAGGTTTTTGGATGGGTGGTGGCTGTTTCCACCACTTAACCCGTCCTAACATTGGCTCCTTGTCCTCTGCTTCCTCAGTCTCTGTTTCTAGATTGCCACTCAGCTTATGTGTGTGTACTCGTGTGGATATGTTTAACAAAATAATGGCAAGGAAGGAGGGCCACCCAGCCCAGGGCTGACAGGTGATGCCCTGTGCTCTGCCAGCGTGGCCCGTCTGTGCTACCCTCCCCCACTCTGTGCTGTGGCGAGGCTGTGCCTACATTATCCAAGGCTCTTCTAGAAGCTTGTGGATAACGGCTTTCTGCAAATGTCCAGTGGTGGTTTTGTTTCTAAATCAGGTCTTTTTATGTTTTTCCCATTTGCACCCTAATTTGACATCGAAGTTCTCTCTTCCTGTATCAAGTCCTGGGTCCTCTGTACCCAGGTCACCCCTTTTCCCGCCAGTGTCACAGAGTGTCCTGAGGAATAGGTGGTAGGGATTGTGACCCATACCTGGGGCCAGCCTGCCACGCAGGCAGCCACCACCGTGGGGTGCTGGGTGCTGTTGGGAGTTAGGCAAATGCAGTCAGCAGGTTGCTGGGAAGTTGGGTAAGCTTTAGGAACGAGAAGGACGGCTGGAGTGTCCCCAGAAGGAAGGAAGGGGCTGCAGAGGGCAGGCAGGGAGAGGGGCAAGCAGAGAGCGGTTACCTCTCAGGCCTGCAAAGCCCTCCTTGGCTTCCTCTCCAAACACGGGCAGAGCCACACCCAGGAGAGGAGGGCCCCAAAACCTTATTTTTATACATGCAAGTAAATAAACCTATTTTTTTTACAAAAATAACTTCTGAATTTATCAGTGTTTTACTGTTAAAGGAAAATACTCCTGTGTCGTAAATTATTTATTGGAAGATGACTTTTTAAAAGCTGCTGCTTGCCTTGGCTTGGTTTTGTACACTGATTTTTCTATGCCTGGCGGTAGCCTCTCTGCCTCAGGTGCTCGCTGGATGGAGGCGGCGTGAGGCCTCTCCCTGCCCCCTCAGGAGAAGGCTGGAGCTGCTTGAGGAATCCAGGCTTATGGGACTCTTCCCCACCTGTCATGTGGCCTGTTTGTCCCGGTAACCCTCCCAAGGGTGTGGACTTGACGCACTTCTAGATTTACTGTGGACACGGCCCCAGAGCATGGGGGTAACAGAGCAGCCTGGCACCCCTAGAAGGTTCCAAGCTTACTCTCGAGTTGGGTTGGAGAAGAAGGTGCCCAAGTAAGGCTTCCACACGGTCGCTTCGCTCCCCTGGGTTTTACTGAGGCTGTACCTGGAGATGGGAGAGGCTTTGAACTGGAAGCTGTGTTCCCTGTCTGCATGTCTCTCTCTCTCTCTTTCTCTCTCTCTCTCTCTCTATCTCTCTCTCTCTCTCTCTCTTTCTCTCTCTCTCTCTCTCTCTGCCCGACTCCTGCACACAAAGACGAGGCCAGGGCAGATCTCCACCCACCTCTTGCCTGCTCACAGACCCACACGTGAGTCCTGAAAGGTCTCAGCTTGGGGGTGTGGCGTGGGGGGGGCTTTGTCGGGGTGGAAGAAGATTCAAAGTGGCTTTCTCTAACAATGAAAATATTCTTCTGTAATTTTTCTTTTTAACATTTTATTTCAGATACATATTTTAGTGTTGAGGCAGATTAGTATATAGCCACCAAAAAGTATTGTGTATAAATTGGAACAGCCACAAAATTGTGTATTTTATGTTACAATAAAGGAGTCTTCTGAAGGACAATATTGAGTCCTGTTTCCTTTCCATCATGTGTCAAGGGAGGGTGGCTTTAACAGGAAAAAGTTCTCAGTCGTCAGCGTGACCCTAAGAAGGGGAACTAGTTGGGAGTCAACAGCCTGAGATGACACACGCATGGACTTGGATGGCAGACAGGGGCGGCTTTTCTTCCTGCTGGAAAATGTTTGGGAAATGGGAACGATAGCCATCTCAGATTCTCCACATTCTCTTCCTGATGGAGAGCCAGCCCTCACTGAGTGTGTTCGGCTTCCTCCCCTGAGCCTGGCACCATGTCGGGGAACTGGTGATAACAGGATGTTGGCTCCTGCCACCCCAGGTCGTTATGAAATATAAAAGTACATGAAGGAAGAGCCATGGAAAGCCCAAGGTGGCCTTTCTTCCCCTCTTCTTTGTGGGGCTTGAACCTAGGACCTCAAACATGCTAAGGAAACTCTCCACCACTTAGCTATGCCCCCTAATGCCCGGCCCTCTTTTTCTTTTGAGACAAGGTCTCAGGCTGTTGTTCAGCTCACTTTCTCAGTCTCCAGAGGGGTGGGTCAACTCAGGACACACAGGAGTTCAGGGAGGAAAATGCATCCAGCCCAAGGGAGCAGCCAAGTGTGGGCTTAGAGGAAAGCAGGAGGGGGCGGAGCCAAGGCATTGTGTGCGGACTCGGAAACTTCGGTGTGTGGCAGAATCTCCTGGAAGGCTGGGTACAGCGTAGGCCAAAACTTCTGGCCACTCCTCACAAGTTCTCTGGAGATCTTGGGCCAGGGGCCATGCTGTGAGAAGTCTCTTGCATGGGCATGAGGCTGCGAGGCAGGGGACTGAGGGACCTCAGAGGCCTGACTGAAGGCTTGGACGTGGCCTGAGTGAGATCGTCAGAGATGAAATCTCAGCAAGTTGGAATGACCAGATTTCCCTTTTAAGAAACCCTGTGTCTTAGGGTTGCTGTTGCTGCGAGGAAACACCAAACGGTGAGTTGGGAGGAAAGGGTGTGTTTGACTTACACCTCCACAGCACTGTTGATCATCAAAGGACGTCAGGACAGGCAACAGTACCATGGAGGGGAGCTGCTAGGCTTGCTCCCCATGGCTTGCCCAGCCTGCATTCTTATAGAACCCAGGACCAGCAGCCCGGGGATGGCCCCAATCACAACGGGCTGGGTCCTCCCCCACCAATCATGAATTAAGAAAATACACTACGAGCCTGCCTATAGCCTGATCTTACTGAGGCATTTTCTCAACTGAGGCTCTCTCCTCTCCAAGTGACTAGTTTGTGTCAAGATAACATAAAACTAGCCAGCACACCCTACTTTAAGCTAGGCTTGCCCGTAATTCCAGCACTTGGGAGGTGGAGGCAGGAGGATCAGAAGTTCAAGGCCATCCTTGGCTAGATAATAACAAGGGTAGCCTAGGCAACAGGAGACCTTATCTCAAAAACAGGAGATCAGGTGGTGGTGGTGCACACCTTTAATCCCAGCACTCAGGAGGCAGAGTCAGGTGGGTCTCTGTGAGTTTGAGTCCAGCCCTGTCTACAGAGCAAGTTCCAGGACAGCCAGGGATACACAGAGAAACCCTGTCTCAAAATGTTGCTACATGACTACATATGGGCAGTCCATTAGCCAAGTAACGGCCCTTGCGTCCTATGTAATCTGTGCGCTGCGTGATCACGTAATTTGTTAATTTGTGTGCAGCATGATCACGCAATCTATGAATTAATGAATAACATTGGGCCACATAAAACCAACACAAAAAGCAAAACAAAACAAAACAAAACAAAAAACTGGAAAAACAGAAAGAAAGAAAAAGAAAAAAAACAAGAACACTTGCTGTGGGACGGTCTGTATGTCAAATTGCTCTGATTGGTCAATAAATAAAACACTGATTGGCCAGTGGCCAGGCAGGAAGTAGGTGGGACAAGGAGAGGAGAATT